ACAGAGACACAGTGAGAGGGAACACAGTAGGAGGAGTGGGGGAGGGAGAAGCAGGCTTCCCTCAGAGCAGGGAGCCCGATGTGGGGCTCGATCCCACGACCCTGGGACCATCACCCGAGCCAAAGACAGATAGTTAACGACTGAGCCACCCAGGCGCCACCCCCACAACTGACTTTTTTAACCGTTGTGAAGAGAACTCACCTGAGCTGATTGTACTTGGTTGAACCTTGAACACCAACACATACGCAATGTGTCTATTTCCCGCTAATATTAGAACATTAGCCCGCAAAACCCGGTAGCATAGATAAAGCAGTGAAATAAAAATCCTGAAATAAAAATCCTTAAGAAAAATAGTTATCGGGTCTCCAAGACTAGAAGACGCCAATCCCATCTGTACCTCTATTTTCAGCTCGGAAATACTGATTGCCTGGATGCGTTTCAGCCCTAGATACCTGTAGGGAGGCCTCGGAAACTTGCATTCCTAAGAACCTCCCCACGGAATCTGCCCCAGATGCAGGAAAAGTCCGAAACAGAAAAGGGAAGTGAAGAACTGAGCAAAATCACAGGTAGAGGTTTTACAGGGCGGTGTGTGTGTGTGTGTGTGTGTGTGTGTGTGTGTGTGTGCATGCGCGCGTGTGCTGGGGTGGGGGAGGGGCTGTGCAGTCCCACCGGAAGCGTGTGAGGTCCCAGCACTGTGTCCCAGAAGGCTGGGACAAGGGCTGCAAAGCCATCGGACACCCAGGACTTTCTGCTTCCTCTCCTCCTCTTCTCTCCTCCTGTGGTCCACTGCTCTCAAGCGTCAGACAGGTCCGCTTCGCTTCTCTCCACACCGGCCCATTATGCAGTCCCCAACTTTACGTGATTTCAATGCCAGACACGCACACACGGAGCTGAAGTTTGGGAGACGCAACAGAAAGAATCCCGAGAAAGAGAACTGATTGGCCAGGCTCTGGTCGGCCTTTACCCCTGAGCTCACCCCCTAAAGGGGACGGGTCCGGCCGCACACCACCATCAGAACCGCCTGAGCTACTCCCGCGGGTGAGAAAGCAACCTGGGGGAGAGACAGTATGATCGCTCACCCAAAGCTATCTCCTACTCCACAGTTCAAGGATTAGCATGGGGGATTCATTCAAAGACTTTCCTCCTGATCTTGGCACTACAGAAACCAGGAGGCCAAAATTAAAAGTTCTAAGACTTAAATAATTAAAAAAAAAAAAAAAAGGCTTGGATGTTTAGTTGGAGGAAATGCGTTTATCAGGATGGGATAAAGTAAAAAAATGAAAACCCAAAAGCCCAAATCACATCTATATTATCTGTGTCATAAGATTCTTTGATGGGATCTCCGATGCCGTGAGAGGGTAGGATGGCATGATCACTTTCTCATCATAGCTGTTCTCACCAGAGGCAGGTGGGGGCCTACCTTGGCCACCGTGACATATACGTCATACACAGGTGCTGCCACATGTCGCTGGACAGTGCCCATCCCTCCACAACCTGAGATGCTGAGCAGGTTCTTGGGTGGGGAGTAAAGGAACCAGATTCTTCTTTCAAATCCCTTCTCCTTCCCCCAAGCAAAACAAACACAAGAGAAAAAAAAACAAAAACAGGGGTGCCTGGGTGGCTCAGTGGGTTAAAGCCTCTGCCTTGGGCTCAGGTCGTGATCCTAGGGTCCTGGGAACGAGCCCCGCATCGGGCTCTCTGCTCAGCAGGGAACCTGCTTCCCCCTCTCTCTCTGCCTGCCTCTCTGCTTACTTGTGATCTCTGTCTGTCAAATAAATAAATAAAATCTTTAAAAAAAAAACAAACAAAAACAAAAACATTTAATGGGCTGGGATAGGCTTGACTGAGGTCAGATTGTAGAAAAGAAAAAAAAAAAGAAAAAAATGAATAATATTAATCAGGGCCTGTGAAAGCCCTAGAAAGATCCACACAAACAAGTTGCCCACTGCACCCAGTCCCCTGGGTAAAACACAGGTGTTGACCTGGAGCCCCGGCCAGCCCTGGGACCCCACTCTTTCGTGCCAGTGTTAAAACTGAGGTTCTGATGTGGTGGGTTTGGGTGGGCTCACCTATTACGTTTCTAAGTAAATTTCCAGATGAGGCTGGCGCTACTGGTCCCTGGGCCATGTTTTGAGCATCAAGGCTTTAGGGAGCTTCAGTGGGAAACCTGAGAGAACCGGATTCACAGTACCAGAGACGCCCACCACCCTCCTCTCACACATGACGTCACTCATTCACCACAATCGGTTTCCAGTTCTGCTAAGGGCCGGGACGTCAGCAGATGCGCTACTTCTCTAGGAGCTCTGCGGTAGACCGTGAGGCACGCCTGGAGGGAGGAGGGAGAGACGGGCAGACGGGAGAGCAAGCAGCAGGTGGCGAGTGGAACCACCAAAGGACACGGGGATTCATCCCTCATCCCTGTAAGAAGTATCCGGGGAGGAAAATGATCACCAAAGACTAAAATCTTCTAGTGAAGTAGACAGGGCTTCAGACCGTTATAATGTGGGGCTATCGCGACAAAGAGGTTGGTAAATACTAGATGTTAATACTAGTATGTCAGTTAAATCTGCAGCAAAACAGATCATCAAACTGGGAGGCAGAGCTCAGGAAAAGTCTCTAGGAAACACAGAATGATAAGTAGAAACTCACTACCTTAATATGAAAATGTCATTGATACTGTCCTTACATAAGAACCACCTTGTTTCATGCCAATGAACGTTAAAACAAGCCCCCTGGTTCCTTCTCGATCGATATGTCCCATCTTACTTTTTAATTAAGATCTTAATTCTGTCAGCTGAACGTTCTTCCAGGAGGATGCTACGTCGGAGCCGTATGAAATTTTACGGAACCGGAGGGGAATGGCACGAGTGAGGTATTTATTGCTTCTTGAAGAACTCAACCAAAAAATTTAGATTCACCGTGAAAACAGGTAACTCGAACCTGCAGCCCCGCTTCATCTGAGGAGCTAAACTGTTCTTGTGCGGCCGTTTGTGCCCACGGATCTCGTCCTCAAACACTGCTGAACTGCCGCGCCCTCACACAGGCCATGCACGGGGGACCTGGCCATAGTTCCCGGGGCAGAGGGCTGGGTAACTCACAGCTCTCACCTGCCGGATTCTGACCGCATTTCAGCGCGCAACCTCTGCACGAGGGAATCGCAGGAGGCCACTCCTCTCACTGGTCATCAAAATATGAGTGATGTTCATGTTTGGGTTTAGGTACAAAGTTAACTCTGTAAGTCACTGACTCCAAGACGCTTTTACGATCTTCTAGGGGATACACGACAGGATACAAAAGTATAAGCCAAAGTAGAGCATAATAACTGCTATGAGTGAAGCAAATAACAAGGTTTTGTTTTTTGTTTTTTTTTTGTTTTTTGTTTTTTGTTTTTTGTTTTTGAGAGTACAGAGAAGGAAGGCTCAGGATGGTTTTCTCCAAAGAGCTCTCTGAACTAGCTTCTAAAGAATGGAAAGAATTTCATCTTGAAATGACCCAAAAGTCAGGAAGTGAGTCAGTGAGAAGGCATAAGGCCCCAGACGCGAGATGACACAGGCCATCATCAGAGGAGAGCAAGAAACTGGAACAAAGTGGGCATGAAAGGCAGTGGCAGAAAAAAGAGGGTGTATTTTGTGAGACTGCATGTCTTATCTGGTCCCTGTTCTCTCTCCCATTCATCAAAGAGCAATGCAGTCCCCAAACCCCAACAACGGGGCCTGCCTGTTTGTATTCTGGTCCCATTACCCTTTCGCCGAGGTTGAGGGCCTGCTGACCATCATTCTTCTTTCAACTCTTGTTCACGAGGAAGCACAACAGAACCCTTGCTCAGGAACCCCACGGAACCCTTGCTCAAGAACCCCACCAAGCAAATCCTCCATGGGCTCAGCCCAGCGTCCTTCCCCTGATGACTCTCCATGAAGGCTCTGGTCTGTGTGATTCTTCTGCTTCTCCGTGCCATGCTAGCCCAGGCCCAGCACGCCTCAGTCCCACAGATTGGGTATCCCCCGTGTCCTGGAGCTGGAGCACAGATTTCTAACTTGCCACCACCATTTCCTCCAGTCACTTCCAATCAAACCGCGGGGATTCCCTATTTCTGCTAAGGACTCCTTAGTCTCACAGTCACCCAATTAAAAAACAAAACCAAACCCCACTGGGTTATGTCCTCTCATAGCCTAAATGCCAGTTATTTAACAGACGCTCCTGTTTTCCCCTCTATCCTTTCACTCCTTAGATAGCAGAATGTTGGCACCCAAACTCTTCCTACACAGGCCTTGGAGATCATGGTGACAACAGCCCTCACTGAATGCCATTTTGCCCCAAGCACCTTTATCATAATGTGCTCTGTGAGAGCGGGAAGACTCTCCATACATCAGAATTAGATTCTTGGGTTGACTTTCAAAGACCCTCATCGTCCGACTGCAGACCGTCTGTTCCAGCCTCTCCGCACATTTCTCTCTCTACACATCCTCACCCTGGTCACCCCGATCTACAGCCACAGCTGGAGGTCTTGAAGCTGACAGGACTGCTCACTCACTAAACTCAGCTCACCCATCACAGCTGTTCAGGATCCCTCCCTGAGTGATGGTTTTCATCCTCTTAGAGCTTAAACCTATGACCCTAAGATCAAGACCTGAGCTGAGACCCTGAGTTGGATGCTTAACCCGCTGAGCCACCCACGCACCCCTCGTCCTCCTCATTTTATACATAATCTACACCATGTTGCTTTGTACATCTTTAAGATCATGTTCTGTTATTTCCCATTTGCTCATCACATCTGTGCCACTGACCCAGAGTGAAGTAAGGTCATGATTTTCGCTTTTTTGTTTTGTTTTACTATCACTCCAAGGATCTCACATGATATGGAACACAGCATGGGTATTTCCTAAGAGTTACTGGACAAATGAGTCAGAGGGTTTCTACACTGAGTGGCGAGAATTGATTTTCAACAGTTATGCCGAAGGTACTAGAGACAAAAAGCAGTTCTGTGCTGAACGCACACTTACCAGAGAAGACGCTAGGTATCTTGGAAAGAAAGCTTTTGACGGTACGAATGGGAATTCCATTTTTTTCATCTTGCATGCGTGCTATGACGTCTTCCATCTAAATAACAATAATAAAATAATTAAAGCCTTTTAAAAGTTGAACTTTTTCAGAGAAATCAGTTCTCATAACAACATTAATACCAGCCTTGCCCAACTAAGTGTAATGCCATATCCTTGCCTTTCTACACTTTGTCACATTGATATTTTTAGTTTGGTTAAAAGATGATGGAGAAAACAGTAAGAAAGGTGACCATTTCAAGGTCCAAATAAGCTACTAAAAGGAATTCTGTGCTTTGAATATTACCTCTCTCCTGGTTTCACATTCTTTGGGTATAAAGGTTGAGATAAAAGAGTGTTTATTTTTGAAGCTGTCAGAAACCACTGTCACAGCGAGATTCTCACTTCGTTAATGTTATCTCTGTGGAACTCAGTGCAAAACAAAATAGAAGCCTGAAAAGCGTCCGTATGGATTTCCTCCTCCAGAACGAGAGTTTCTGTAATTTGGTTCAATGTGAATTTCTTTAACCTGCCCATAAATGCAAGGCTGATTGGCCAGAAACTGCTGCTTCTCCCGCCTGGGCATTTACGGAAGTGTGACACGAAACACACACACACACACACACACACACACACTCATGATAAAATGAATGTTAACACTCTTTCTGATCATTTCATGAATTCCGCTGTATCTGGTTATTTCCCGTTAGTACACTCTCTTTTGCTTTTGAAAACTTTTCACCATTGTAACAAACTATACTTTACAAAGCCTAATGTGGAATTCAGATCTGAATACCATTCATTCTGATCACAATCCCTGTGTTTCTATGCTGTGGCACGCGTATGTCCACAAACACACAGAAGTCGTATTATGGAGCTCGACATCCATTCACTCATTTACTCATTCCACAAACAGATCATTTACTCATTCTGGATCACGGACTCCAGACCAGACTTCCCAGTGGGCACGGTGGATATGAAAGTGAATATAATACAGCTGCTGTCTTCAAAACAAGTCACAGTCCATATTGAAAACCATGGTACAATTTGAGTAAGGTTTGTAGTTGACCCAATAATGTTGTACCAATATGAATAACCTGTTTTTGGTAATTTTGCTAGGATTCTAGAAGATGTTTATGTTAGGGGAAGCTGTGTGAAGGGCATCTGGGAATTCTACAACTATTTTTGTATCTTTTCTGTAAGTTTAAAATTATCCCCCCAAAACGTTAACAAAATCACAGTCTAAACTTTGTATCGGTGAACTACCAAATTCCTATCAACACGGCTTCAGAATGTCTTTCAACGAAGAAATCTTACTTGCCTGGATAAGTATTTTCAGGTGTATTAACATGAGAAATGGTTCACCAGAGACTGGAGATGTGGGGAGAATGGGTTCCTGAGTCAGGTCTGCATGGGACTCTGCTCCTCTTGTGACCACCGTGTTCACCTGGTTTGAGCAAGGTGAGCAACCTAAGGCCACTTCCTCACCTTTAAATGGTGACACCAATATTACAGGCAATTCCTTCAGTGTGTGTAGGGTAGGGTTGGGGCTGGATGGGTGGTAAAGTATTTTAAGGTTAAATGATACAACATATATAAAGCACCATACGTAGACGATAAACCTTGGACTTCAAATGTCTACAACCTGCCCCCCCATTGCTTAGGGATGTTTATTCCCCATTCCTCACGTTTTTGGGGTTTTGTTTGTTTTTATTTTATTTTTTTGTATTTTATTTTGTATTCGTATTTTGTATTTTATATTATTTCTGTATTTATTTTATTTATTATTTTTTTATGTAGAGGGAGGACCACTGTCTCACTTCCCTGCCTCTTCCTGTGCCTCACACCTGTCATTCCAGGGAAATTGGGCCGACTTACCAGGTGGAAGGGTTGGGAATGAGAAACTGGTCATGGGCCCATCCCCCTTCAGTGGGGAAGCCCACATGCCCCTCTGCTCATGGGAAAGGCCTGCCCTCGTGAGGGAGTAAGAGGGATCAGGATTGAGTTTGGAGATTAGAGTTTTATGTCTGTGCAAACATTCTTCAAAAATAGCTTGATCATCAGAGTAATGCAGGTGATACTCTGACCCTTTCTGCCTTATGCTTTGATTGTGATTCTCAACTGGTTTGTAATTCAGAAAAAGGAAGGTTTTTGTTGTTGTTGTTTTTGTTGTTTTGGGTTTTTGTTTGTTTGTTTTGTTTTTTGTTTTTTTTTTTCCTGGCCCTCCAAGGAGCCCAGTAGTAGCTAGATCTTTTCATGCAATAAATACATCTTGCCTAAGTACGGAAACACGAAAATAGTCATACTTTTCTGTTTGTTTTGTTACTGTTTGCCTTTCATTCACCTGACAGTGTCCAGGAATGAAGAAAAGGTACTTCACCTTGTCTAGTGCCAGCCTGCGGACTCTTGCATTATTCACTTAACAGTTTAAACCAGGCCAGATCAGACAGATGGGGAAACTCCTCTGATGCCCCTTAATACCTCCGCACCTCAGGATGTGGCAACCATCGCCTGTAATACTGGAACTCAACTGAAGTTCATTGCTAGGAGTAGAGAGAGGTGTTTTCTCTGTAGTCACACCACCTCTCGGTTCATTGGATCACTGGATCCCGAAGGAACGAGATCAGGAATCTGGGAATGGAGAGTGAGCTCTGTGCTTGTACTTGGAAAAGTTTTAATCTTTCTGAGCCATAATTTCCATAACAGAAAAAAAAGTTAAACTCCATGTAAGAAGAGGATTTGTGTTCTTAAACTGAAAGTGTGGTCACTGAAATGCAGTCAGGTGTTTTTATCTCTGTTCAGATATGATTTCTCATCATGAACTCTACCGTGGCCTAGAATCAGCTAAAAACAAAACACAAAAGGGAAGACAAAGACAAGAATGATCTGGTTTCTAGAAGCTGAAATCAGTCCCAAAGGCCACATATAAAAACACACCCTTGGGGCACCTCCTGGGACAATTAAGCGTCCAACTCTTGGTTTTGGCTCAGGTCGTGATCTCATGGTCATGGGGATAAGCCCCGGGCTGGGCTCCACGCTCAATGAGGAGTCTGCCCGGGGCTCTTTCTCCCTCTCCTCTGTCCCTCCTGCTTATTCTCTCTCTCTCTCTCTCTCAGATAAATAAATCTCTAAAACATATACCTACCTACTACATACAAACACATCCGTCAAGTTAATGCCGTTTCCTTCCACAGTCAGCCGGGGTCTATTTATGTTTATACTAAGCGTGGCTTGAACACACTAGGTCTATCTGCTTTCCCACTACTGGCAAGAGCAAATCGGGTGAGAAAGAGAACGTTAAAAGCAGACAAACTAATAGAGCAAGCTGGGCAGCAAGAGGGATATGACGTTCTGCAAAGTAACAGCACTAAGTACCAAAATTCTTTGGGACAATTCAAATTTAAGGCCAAAGGACTCAGATACAGCAAACGTCCCAGTGAAGATACTGACACACCCCACATCTATTGACTGATCTGTTATCTGTCATCTTTATCCATGTGCCATTGAGTTGCAAAGGGTTAGGCTGTTTCCACTCTCTTAGCCCATTTCTAGGTGAGGAAAATTTCAGCTTGGGAGGACAGAACACTGAGCTCTGTCTGGTCATGGCTGGGCACTGAGGCTCTCTCTGAGTCTTACTTTCTTCCCTCTTCCAATAAGAAGTTAGACGCATGTGATTGGTAAGATTTCTTCTAGCTACAAAATTACGTAAGTCTGGAAATAATCATCAGACCTAACTGGTTAGGTCTCCTCACTGAAGTCGAAGAGCCAGTTCCCTATCAGAGACAAAGAGATGAGCCTGTTAAATTGACCAGGACCTTTTAGAGATGGCTGCCCACTGTCAGTACCTTTTAAAGATTTTATTTTTTTATTTTTTTTATTTGACAGAGAGAGATCACAAGTAGACAGAGAGGCAGGCAGAGAGAGAGAGAGAGAGAGGGAAGCAGGCTCCCTGCTGAGCAGAGAACCCGATGTGGGACTCGATCCCAGGACCCTGAGATCATGACCTGAGCCGAAGGCAGCGGCTTAACCCACTGAGCCACCCAGGCGCCCTGTCAGTACCTTTTAATAGCAATGCAGATAGCAACGTGATTAAGAACACACACTGAGGCCAGTCACACATAAGTCTGAATCCTGGCTGTGCTACCTACAAACTATACGAACACGTAAGATACTTTAAAACTCTGAGACTCAGTTTTCTCATCTGTAAAATGGAGATGATAGCATTATATACCTTATCAGGGCTTAGGACTGATGAAACAATGTTAATGAAATGTTGACCCATAATGCTACCATTATCATCATCATCATCTTTGTCCTCATCAACATAAGTTTCTTCCCTCATCAGTGCACTAGGAAACCCCAAGTCCTTTTCCTTTCTTTGACAATCCAGCTGGCAAAGACAGCTGTGGTTAAACGCCAAATATTTATTAGAAGTAACCAATTGTCAATCACGAAGTAGACAAGAGATACCCATGGACAGCTCTCTCTCAGATTTCTTACAGAAGACTGGGTTTGTCTTGTCCCCCAAAAGATAAGGGATTTGATTAGAAGAAATGTCAAGAAGAATATTTTTGCATATAAGCAAGGAATATGTAAACTATGGAAAGATAATAGAGGAAAGGAAGAAATGAGATTGCACTCACTTTTGACAAAGTGAAAATGTCTCTGCTGTCACAGCTTCTTGATGAATTTGCCTCTTGAAGTTTAAAGGGTTGAAAAATTGAATTGAGTTTGAGGACTCTGCAAAAGTCATCTTTTTCTCTATGCAAACTGATCCTCTACGTGTGTTAAAGGGTAAAATTATTGTCTCTTGCAAAGCAGTTTTGAGACTATCAAAACTTGTTCAAAAACTTTTTTATACCTCAATTACAAAATCTTCACATTTAATTATTATCTTATGACTGCCTTTCTCCCTTAGATGTGAACTTCTTGAAAAAAGAAATCTCACCTTACTCATTTTTATTTTGCTAATGTATAAAATGCCTGGCCCATAGGGAAGTTTTAAAAAAAGGGGGGGGGGTGCATTGAATTTTTGTTTATAGCACATGTTAATTTTTCCGA